GCACCTCCTACCCGGTCTCAATGCGCTTTTTTCTTTCCTTCTAGTTGTAGAACTTCCACTCGGCCAGCTTTCCTGTGGTTCTGGATGATAGCTGTTTTGTCTTATAGTTGTAGTTTTAATGTTGTTGTGGGGGGCAGCACGTACAGGTTTGTACTTTATGCCGCCATCTTGGTTCCTCTACTTAATTGATTTTTAGAGAGAGAGTAAGGGAGAGAAGAAGAAAAACATCAATATGAGAGCACAATATGGATAGGCGCCCCCTGCACTTCCGGTACTGGAATCAAACCGGCACAGGATGACACCCAGCCAACTGAGCCATATGTTCCAGGGGGCCAGGAGGCCAGGGCAGTAAAGTCTTTCTTGACTCTTGCAGATAGCTTAGTCCCTCCCTCCTCTGTGATCCCCTTGCATCTGCACTCACCTTGTTACAGCACTGACTGTGTGCTATCTCTGCCTTGGTTTGTTTTGTGCTCTGTACTAGTATTTGCTTCTTGAGGGCAGGAACCAATGTTTTTCCTTGGTATCCTCGCCCTGTGCTTGGTGTGGAATGGTTTGTACTGTAGCAACAGACAGAGGTGAAGGCAATGGTGAGTGGCTCAGTTTGACTGAGCATGGACTGTGCTGAGAGAGGTGCTGTGCCAGGTTGTGCTGTACCAGGTCATGGGGCCTCCAAGCCAGGCCTGGCGGCTCAGACTCACTGTCTGTGGCAGGGAGGGAGGCCCAGGATGACACAGGCTCTTTTTAAAAGTATGTGTTTCCCTAAAATAAAAGCAACAATCACATGATGGAAAATAAAATTAAGGCATCCATTTCTACCAGTCTTTTGCAACTATTATTATTTTGATGTGTTTTCCTGCCAGTCTCTTTTCATGAGTACTTTGGACAAAATGTATTGCTGTATTGCTCCCTGTGTTCATAGCTGTAATTTTATATATATATATATATATGTTTTTATTGATTTGAGAGTGAGAGAGAGAAACATCGATCGGCTGCCTCCTGCATGCTCCCTGCTGGGGATTGAATCTGCAACCTGGGCATGAGCCCTGACCAGGAGTCAAATGACCCGTTGATGCGTGGGGTGACATTCAACCAACTGAGCCACACTGGCCAGGGCCACTGCTGTAATTTTTAATGGCTGCTTCGGCCATCGAGGGAATGTGTACCAAAACATGCTTGTGCTTACTGTCATTGGATATTTAAGTTGTTTTCTGCTTTTTTCTACTATTGTAAATACTGGTGCAATAAATGTCTTTGCAGATACAGATTTTTATGTTTTTGTCATATTTCTTTAGGATGAATTCTTAGGTTCTGGGTCGAAGTACCAAGGTTAACTGTGGCTCTTGGTACACTTGGGACCCAGTCAGCCTGTCTGGGGGTGATTGTTTTTTCTTGTTCTGTGACATAGCCTCTAAAGCAAATAGGACTTCACAGAGCTTCTAAAGTATTAGAGACTCCATGCCTCCCAGATAGAATGGCGGAGTGTTTTTTAGCCCATAAGGTATTTATTTAATGTTTATTTGGAGCCAGAAATAAACCCCACAGTAGGGTTTATTGGGTAGAGTGTAGGATGGGAAAACAAGGAAAAGTCCCAGAGAGCTAGCTCACAGCAGGACCTGTGAACCACGTGGGAAGACATTGCCAAACCACGGAAAACCAGTGTGTGTTTCAAGGCCCCTCCTGGAAGAGCTCCAGCCTAACTCTGCCTCTTTTCTCTTGGGTCCCTCACACCCTAATGACATGGAAGTGTTCCCCTGCCCCAGAGCTGTGGTGAGCCTTACTCACTGGGCCTTTGCTCACCTTCCTCCCCTCCTCTTGGAACCCTACCTTCCTCAAAGCCCTGCCTAGACCTCTCTTCTCCTCCCTTCCTGTCTTCATCCTGCCCTGGGTTCTTGTGCATGTCTCAGCTACCAGATCGTGGACTCCAGAAGGCAAGAGCTGTGCCTTGTTCATCTTAGTGTGTACCTAATGTTAACTGAATGAAAATGAGTTCAGGAGCATTTTGTTATAAATTAAGTAAAAGGCATTAGCCAGTCTGGGGCCTTTGGCATTGAGGGGGTTTTAGGTTACTTCTTTGTAGGTGAAACTTAGCTCTCACTATCCTTTTATTTATTTATTTGTTTGTTTGCTTGTTTATTTTTAAAATATATTTTTATTTATTTCAGAGAGGAAGGGAGCGGGAGAGAGATATAGAAACATCAATGATAAGAGAGAATCATTGATCGGCTACCTCCTGCATGCCCCCCACTAGGGACCGAGCCCCCATCCCCCCCCCCCCCACTGGGGACCGAGCCTGCAACCTGAGCGTGTGCCCTTAACCAGAATTGAAACCTGGACCCCTCAGTCTGCAGGCCTACGCTCTATCCGCTGAGCCAAACCAGCTAGGGCTCACTGTCCTTTTAAATAACTACTTGACCCACTTATGAATTAGTTAATGCTCGGTGAGTGGAAAAGAAGATTGCTGTTGTTGACTTCTTATTTGTGACTCAGAGTAAAAGCTGAGGATCCTCATTCAGGCCAGTCAGTGTGGTTCTTAGTCACAAGACCCTCTGCATGTGTCCTACAAAGGGTGTTTCCCAAGAAGGACTTCTCTGAGGCCTAGGAATAAAGAAATGAGCAGAAGCAGTTATCCCGTCACTCACAGTGCCCGCGTCAGTGTCCTTCTAGAGTGGGGTTCATTCAACCACACATTGATGGTGCACCTTCCATTTGTCAGGCGCTATTCCAGGTTTTGGGGGTGCACTGCTAAACAAGGTAGAACTGGGTCTTTCCCTCCCAGGTTTATCACTTTTGTCTTTGGAGACAGACAGCCTTGGATTCAGAGTCAGGTTCAGCACTACTTCTGAAATCTTGGACGAGCTGCTTCCCCTCTCTGAGTGGAGGCTTTCTCCAGCTGCAAACTATTAATACTCCTCCCTCACAGGGTGGTCGTGAGGTGGAATGAGGAGGAGAGGGTGTAGCTTTTCTCAGCCAGGGATCCTCAGCTGAGCCACAGGACACAGAAATTGATTGACTGTTTTCTCCATTCTCTCAAGGATGGGATATAACCAGGATGGTTCAAGATGCACGGGAGAGAAGTCAAGTCATGGCAGACAGTGGATGCCTTAGGATAGTAGGGCTTAATTCTCTTGAGGAACCAGGTTGAGAGAGGCTAGTAGAACCTTCTTTTTGGATGGCTTGACACAGTGGCCAGTTCTGGGGTGACTAGAATTTCACAGTAGCATCCTGGTGTGGTAAGCCTGGCACATAGTAGACACTCAGTAAATGTTAGCTCCCTTCCTCAGTCCCTCCTCCTCCCTACCTCTATCCCTAGGCCTCAGCTTCTCTTGAAGCCACCCACAACTTTCAGAAGAGCCCAGGTGTTCTCAGATGGGAAGTATCCTTGTCTCCCATAGTGTTCCTGTTCCAGGCTCCTCTTCCCAGGCAAGGTGTTTCTCGGCCCCAAGGCTGCTGCTGTGATGCAGATGCTCCTTCTCTATGCCCTAGCATTTGGGCAGTGCCTCCTAGAGAAAGCAGAGGGCCTACAACAGCCGTGGGCAAACTATGGCCCGTGGGCTGGATTCGGCCAGTTTGAAATGAATAAAACTAAAAAAAAAAAAAAAGACCGTACCCTTTTATGTAATGATATTTACTTTGAATTTATATTAGTTCACACAAACACTCCATCCATGCTTTTGTTCCGGCCCTCCGGTCCAGTTTAAGAACCCATTGTGGCCCTCGAGTCAAAAAGTTTGCCCACCCCAGGCCTACAACATGCAGCACTTACTCGCAGACATTACTTGAGCTTCTGCTCTACACAGACCTTCACGAAGCACTGGGAAGCCAGAGTATGAACTAGGCACCTGGTGCAGAATTTACAGCCTATTAGTGGAGACAGGATTTGTTTATGGTGACCCTATTGTCTTTTTCCATATAGAAAAATTAGGGGGTTCCATGGGGCCTATTTAATGTTAACATTGTGTTTAAAAATCCAACTTATGGAGGCTTCCTGGTGGAGGTGAGGCTGGGCCGGAAGGACAGGAGCATCTGGATGAGTAGTGAGTGATGGGGGGTGAAGTGTGCAGACAGGGGAGCCTAGGTGAGGCCTGTAACAGGGTCCTTGACAGAGTCCAGTGGCAATCTGCTTACTCTTTACAGCTGTTTCTCCCAAAACCCAGGCATTGTGTTGAGCTAAACCCGAGCCCCATACCTATATGTATGGAGAAGGGGGAGAGTGTAGGAGCTCTGCTGGGTGAGGGCAGGATGAAGACAGACTGGCCTCAGGTCAGCCGGGAGGCTGCTTGGGTGAAGAGGGTGGCAGGGAGCCCTGTGCAGGGCTGGCCTTGGCAGAGATCAGATGGGAAAGGGAAGATTAAACACTTAGGACAAGCTGTGTTCTGAGGATCTTTTTGTATTTTTTAAAAGAATCGAGAGAAAAAAATAACCAAAAACATTTCCCTGGCTTATTTATCTGAGCCCTTTATATCTCTTTATTCCTAGTAAGCACGCTTGATTTAATCAGTCAGCACTAGCACCTAGCAGTATGCTTTTGTTCTAAGACCTGTAGCTGTCCTTTTAAAAATAAGAGGAATAAAATAATAAATAAAACATTACAGAAAGGTTATAAAGTGAAAAATATCCACCCATTCACCCCCACCCCCACCCCCACCATAAAACCCCACTCCCTGGAGGTAAATACTAGGAACCGTTATGAATCCATGAAGGGCACTAACAAGAACACCTTTTTTCTATTGATTCCCAGGCCTCAGAGTATAAAGCTTGCTTTGTATCTTCTGGAAAGTCATCTGGGCTGAACCCCTCCTTTTCCAGAAAGAGGAAAGAGATTGCAGCTCTCTGTGGCAGGGGCCGGGCACAGGAGTCTTCAGAAGAGGCTGTTCAGAACACTAGGAAGGGCCATCAGCGGCCTCAGTTAGCCGGCTCCCTGGGATTGCCTGCTGGCCCTGAGGTGGTTATGTCTGTTCTCCTTCTCCTCAGTGTCTAATGGCTCTTTTTTACCTCCTCAGGATCCCTCTGTGACCCAGCTGACCAATGCTCCACAAGGTGGCCTGGCTGAATTCAACCCCTTCTCAGAGGTTGGTGAGCATGTCCTCTTTATGAGTCCCTGGGTCCTCTGGGTGGTGCTGGGGTCTCTGGGGCAAGGAGCCTTGGCAAGACTGAGAATCTGCAGTTCTCAAAGGGACAATCTTTTTGTGTTGTTGTTTTAAATATGTTTTATTTATTTTAGAGAGGAAGGGAGAGGGAGAGAGAGATGGAAACATCAATGATGAGAAAGAAACATTTGATTGGCTGCCTCCTGTGCACCCCCTACTGGGGATCGAGTCTGAAACCCGGGCATGTGCCCTGACTGGGAATTGAACCGTGACATCCTGGTTCATGGGTTGATGCTCAACCACTGAGCCACAGTGGCCAGGCTCAAAGGAACAGTCTTTTATTTTTTTAAAAATATATCTTTATTGATTTCAGAGAGGAAGGGAGAGGGAGATAGAAACATTAATGATGAGAGAGAATCATTGATCGGCTGCCTCCTGCACACCCCCTACAAGAGATCAAGCCTGCAACCCAGGCATGTGCCCTTGACTGGAATCGAACCTGTGACTCTTCAGTCCTCAGGCTGACACTCTATCCGCTGAGCCAAACTGACTAGGGCTCAAAGGGACAGTCTTAATGTGAACTTGAGGGGTGGGGGTAAGATGAGGAAGCCACCAATTCTCCTCTTAGAGTCCATGATCTGGGCTCCTCCTGAAGAGGGCAGGGCAGTGCCAGGAGCTCTGGACCCAAAAAGGCCAGGGATCCTAGGTTAGGCCTCACACTGCTCAGAGCCTGAGGCTTGTTGGCTGAAAAGCTACAGAGGGAGATCCAGAGGGAGTACTCCTCATAGGCAGGGGCATATCACCCTCCCTGTTGTGGGTTTGCCTCCCACATGGCCAACTAATGGTGTCCTACTCACCTCACTCCTTTAATCTGTCCCAAGCAGACAAATGCAGCAACAACGGTTCCTGTCACCCAGCTCCCTGGGCCCTCGCAGCCAGCGGTTCTCCAGCCCTCAGTGGAACCAACCCAGCCAACCCCCCAGGTACTGTTGACAAAGATCCCTTTTGCCTCTCCTTTCCAGAAAGGGAAGCACCCAGACTAGTAGCTGAGTCCTGAGATCGGGATGGGCAGGGGGGTCTTATTCTCTGGCTTCCCTTCAAGGGCCTCTTAATAATCTCTTTGGGGTTTGTCACTTGGATGTGGAGGGTCTCCTCACATAAACCCCCCCCCCCCCCCCCCACCTCACTGCCAGCACCAAAAAATAAGCCCTACTCACCAGGCTGGGCTTCTGGGTATCTTTGTCCCTTCACCAAATACCGTGAATCTTGTCTGCTTGGTACCCAACCCTCTGTCCCTTGCCTCACTGTTTACCCCACGCTCCTCACTGCCCCTGGTGAGCATGATCCTCAGTGGAGTTGTATGTTGCAGCTCCTCCTTAGACAGGCCAGCAAGTTCCTGCCTACCAGTTTCCTGGCAGTGAGCGAGCTCTCAGAGAGGCAGATGCTACTAGGAGGAGATAGTATTCTCAGAGACAGCTACATGCAAAAGCTTCCAAAGGTAGGCAAAGTATAGGTGAGCGTGAGTGAGGGCGAGATGCCTGGATTCTAGTGGGCCCCAGGCTGCTCCTGTCATTTGGCCGGACTTACTCTGAAAGTGCTGCCCCTGCATGGAATCCTGGAATCCTGGGATCCTGGGCCCCACCCATGGCCTAGAATGCTGCGAGGCAAGGCTTAGAGGCAGAGACTTTCTTGTTCAGCTGGGTGGTGGGTCCTGGGTCCAGCTCAACTGAAGTCACAGACTTGGAGAAATAGGCTAAGACCCTCACCGTGGTCAATTCTGCTCCTGCTTCTACCCCTAGTGCCTGAAATTTACCTCCTGAAGGTAGCCTTAGCTCTTTGGAGAACTCATTTTGGAGAGATAGAGAACACACATATGTATGTACACATATGCCTGGCTTATCATCCTGTGAGATGACCAGTTTGGTATTTGCTCCCTAAAAAGGACTGTAGCCTTCTGGAGGAACTGGGCTCTGGGCTGGAACTCTGGACCCAGCTCTGCTCAGCCTCACGTAGAGTCCTCTAGCTGCTTCACTCAAAGGCGTTGCTCTGCCTGGAGAGGGGATAAAGCTTTGACTCTGCACACCATCAAAGCCAGGCAGAGCAGGGCCAACCTTAAGGGGCTGTACTGGGATGTAGCCAGTAACAGTTCCGGTGGACCTCAGGGGGCAATTCCTGGGAATGGAGCAGGTGCAGGTGCTTGAATATACATCCCTCTGGTTCCAGGTACACAGAGTATGGCCTCAAATGCTTCCCCATCCCACTCACTCTGGCAGGTTTGCACTGTTTCCCTTCACACACACACCCTCCAGGCTCTCAAGTGAGGCTTAGGTCTCTGGGTTTCTGACTACAGGACAGTCTGTTGTGAAGCCTTCTGCCCTTTGCTATCACCCCAAAGGTCAATGTAATTGAACTTGGCCTGGACTACAGTATGGAGAATGGTTCTCTTATCTCAAGTTTCAAAATGAAGGGGAGAGGAGAACCCTGATAATGGCAAAGTGGCCACAGAGGTGTTTTAAGAGCAGTAGGGGACAGGTCCCTTGGCCTCTCTTTGGTGGTCTCAGGTGCCCAAGACATTGGAGGGGGTGGGACTACCCCTGGAACTCCCAGCTGGCTCTCCCTGCATGGGGCACGGGCCCTGTGACTTCCTGTCAGGCCAACACTGTTCCTCTGTCTCTCATGTTTGGTTGCCTTCCACTTCCCTTTTTGCTCCAGGCTGTGGCCTCTGCAGCCCAGGCAAGCCTACTCCGGCAGCAGGAAGAACTGGACAGGAAAGCAGCCGAGCTAGAACGAAAAGAGCGGGAGTTGCAGAACACTGTGGCCAACTTACATGGTAAGGGAGGCCACACTAGGTCCTGGGTTCCCGTCCTGGTGCAGGAGAGTTCCCTCAGCCTGCTTGTTCCTGGGGCAGCCTCAGCTCTTTGCTGAGCTCCTGATCATCTTAGAATGGTGTTGGTCCTGGGGAGAGCAGTAAGTGGAAGTCAGGAGACCTGTAGTGTAACCTTAATGGGTGTAGATTATTTCTGCATTCCTTTTCAGCTGTAAAATTGTTTGATAAGAATGGGGGCACTGGCCCCACTATTCCTTGGTTATAGGCTGTTCAAAAAAAATAATCACTTAGGCTGTTTACCTCTGTGTTTCCCAGTACATTTGGGGTCCATTATCTTGCACTGATCGTGTGGGTGTTTATGTCCTATCATCCTTGTTCCTTCCTACTTTATATCCATGAATACCCTGAACCCCACTTGTTGACACCCCTCTGGGGGTCCTGAATTGGCCCATAAGCTGGGCCTCATCTTGTTATCTCCTTCTACACAGTGAGAGAGAACAATTGGCCGCCTCTGCCTTTGTGGTGCCCTGTCAAGCCCTGCTTCTATCAAGACTTCTCCACAGAGATCCCTGCTGACTACCAGCGAATATGCAAGATGCTCTACTATCTCTGGATGTGTGAGTCCAGCTCCTGCACCTCTGAGCTTAGGGCTGAAATGGACTGTGTCTTGAGATCCTTGTCTATGCTCTGGCTGGTCCTCCCTGGCAGACTCCAGCCTTTCTCAGTGCTGGTTGGGCTGGGGTGGGGATCTTTGCCCACATAATTGGCCCTCTGAAGACTGCTTCCTGTCATGGGAACCTCCGACCTCAAGGGCGAGTGCAGACCATGCATCAAGTAGGGTGAGACTAGCTGGAGGCTTCTGAGTTCTTGGGGAGCTCATTGCACTAAAAGGTTCTCCTTCGGTGGAGGCTTCCCCTCTCCACAGACCCCTGGGCTCCTAGGAGTGAGGATAAAAGACTCCCTGTTGCTACCCTGTGGACCATCCAGGGCCAGGGAAGAGTTGCTTAGAGAAGGACTCCATTCCCCCAGGATCAGTTATTGGGTCTGCGCCCTCTCCATGGCCACCCCTTAGATACCTGGGCTGTCCCATCACCTCTGAGGAGCTTGGTTTGGTCCCTGGTTTTGAGGTCCCAGAAAAGCAAGGACAGGAGCTAGTCCTGCCTGGGTACAGACCGAGGTCCTCTACTTTTGCTGCAGCTGCCCTGACAGCATGGACCTCATCTCCTTTCTAGGGGATAGTTTGACATATCCGGGAGCCCTTCAGCCACCTTGGCACCAGCCCACGTCTGTCTCCCCCCCTTCCACAGTGCATTCAGTGACTCTGTTTCTGAACCTGCTTGCCTGCCTGGCCTGGTTCTTAGTCGACAGCAGCAAAGGAGTAGACTTTGGCCTCTCAATCCTGTGGTTCGTGATCTTCACCCCCTGTGCCTTCCTTTGTTGGTACCGACCCATCTATAAGGCCTTCAGGTGAGTGGGGATGGGACAAGGGGGGGAGTATATGGCTGGCATCCCAGGTAGCAAGCCAAGGCCATGAGCCCTAGGATCCCATTCCAGTCAGAGCAGAATAGATCATGGGAAATTCACTTCCCATTCCCACCCACAGCCAGAGTTGGCAGGGATCAGGAGCCATTTTCCTCAGTTGTACCCAAGGTCTGTTTTGGGCCCTCTTCTTGGACCAGGAAAGGAGACCTAGAGAGGGGAGCACGAGCCTTACTTGTCCTTCCACTGCACCCAGTCTGTTTGGTGCAGGAGGATTTCAGTCACTGGGAAGAGGAAGGGACTTCCTCAGCTTCCTTCCAAGGTTCTAGGGCAGCGATTTTCAACCGGTGTGCTGCAAGCATTTTAAAACATGCAGTACTTGACTATTTAGTCTTGGGCACTGACCTCTTTTCCCTTAGATTGTCAAATAAAAAAATGACAGCAGCAAACACAGTAGCTGTTCAGCGTGAATGAATCAAAAGTATACCTATTTTTTGTCAGATTGGCAAAAAGTATATTTTTGTTGTGCCACAGAATTTTAGTAGTTTATGTGTGCCATGATATGAAAAAGGTTGAAAATTGTTGCTCTAGGGCAGGGGTCCTCAAACTTTTTAAACAGGGGGCCAGTTCACTGTCCCTCAGACCGTTGGAGGGCCAGACTATAGTTTAAAAAAAAACTATGAACAAATTCCTTTGCACACTGCACATATCTTATTTTGAAGTAAAAAAACAAAACGGGAACAAATACAATATTTGTATTTGCATGTGGCCCGCGGGCCGTAGTTTGAGGACCCCTGCTCTAGGGTATTCTATGATAGAGTCAGACTCTGAGTTACGCTCTTAATAGCTTATCTCTCCATGCTTACTTATGCCCCTCCCTTTACTTTCCTAGTAACTGTGGAGCATCGCTAAATGCCAGTATTTGACCAGCTGGCTGAGAATAGATTCTGTGGACTTTAATGGATCCACTTTACAGACCCTTAGGGCTTTTGGAATTGTGCCTCAGAGCTGATGCTGTCAGGGCTGGGATGCACTCAGCAGGGAGGACTTGAACCCTCACTGTATTCTAGCCCTCATGGACATGGAAATGGAGGTGCTCAAAACACCAGTTTTGTCTAGTGTTTCTACTTCCCAAATACTTTTCCTGCCACTCAGGCCTACAGTTTTATTATTAGAGGTTTATACCTTTGGCTTAGATTTTCTTCCCTGTTATGAAATGCAGATAAGTACTCCGGAAGATGGACTGTTACACTCTTTCTATTGTCCTTTGGTGAAGCAACTTCATTAGTTCTTTGAGGAAGGGATTAAGTATTGTCCCCTTAGATTGGAAGGCAGTGAAAGGCAAGCCCTTTCTGATTACAGCTTGTGGGTTTGTAGACAGTGTGACTGAGTCTCTAGTGCTCTGTTTACTCCCCCCTATTCTGCCTCTGGCTTCTGGTGAGGAGGAGTGTCAGACCATATGAGGAATGCTGTGGGATGAGCCCCAAGCCCTTTTGTGACTTCTGGTTTCCCCCTTCTCTCCACAGGTCGGACAACTCTTTCAGCTTCTTCGTGTTCTTCTTTGTATTTTTTTGTCAAATAGGGATCTATGTCATCCAGTTGGTCGGCATCCCTAACCTGGGGGACAGGTGAGACCTGGGGCAGTACAGAGGGAACTGTTCTTTGGAGGCTCAACTCAGCCTCTCTTGCCCTATTTGCCAGCCTCTGAGGGCCCCTCTTCCACCATAGCAGGGAGAGTGGTAACTGGGCCAGCTTGGATCTGTCTTCAAGCCCCCTCTCCAGTTCTTTACCAGTAGCCACTCACTGTCTTGCCTTGTTCACCACTTTCTGGGGTGAACATGGCCTGAATCCTTAGGCTACCTGGCTGTGTCTTACACTGGATTACAGCCTCTTCCTTTGCTCTTATCACACCCTCCTAGAAACTGGTGCTACTTCCACAGGTTCCATACATGCCCTTGGGTTTGGGCAGCTGCTGATGGATGCCCTGGTCTTTGCAGACCCTGAGCTGTGACTTTCCTGGAGGCCCTGTAACCTAAGGAGATGGAGCCCTAGCCTCTCCTGGGTGGCTCCTCTGGCTGCTCTCTTGGAGCAGACAGCTGGCTTGAGTTTCCTGGGTGCTACAATCCTCCACTCAATATTAGTTTCAGAAATAAAAGCCGATGGTTGATGTTTTCCTTTCTGCCTCAGTGCACAGGGAACATTACAGAAAGGTCAGGCTGGCACTTGGCTAAAAGCCTGAGCCTGGAAGGGCTGCACTATTTTGGTCTCATCTCTCCAGTGGAGCTGGCAAGTACAGAGCAGTAGGGAGGGGCTGAATCACCTTGAACTCAGAGCCAAGTGCATACTGCCTTTCCACCACCCCTCTTCCTTCTCACCATGTTTATAACCTACCCCTTTTGTCTGTATATGGTGACCCAATTACATTACTCATTACCCTAAGTGAGATCCTGGTTGAAAGGCTATGATTAATAACGGCTGTTTGCACCCAGGACAGGGATGATTGTGCCCCTCACTGCCCTGCCTAGGCCTACCTGGATGAGTTCTGCAGCCTCCAGCCTCCCAATATCTTTCTCATCTCACCTCCTTACACTGTGTTTTGATTGTAAAATACACATAACATAAAATATACCATTTTATGTACCACTTAAACCATTTTAAAAGATACCTCTGTTTTCTTCTAAGTTTTATAGTTTGAGTTATTATTAGGTCATTGATCCATTTTGAATTAATTTTTGAAGTAAGGAATCCAACTTAATTGTTTTGCATGTGGATATCCAGTTGTCCCAGCACCATTTTTTTATGAGTTCTTTTAAAAAAATCTTCATTGTTGAAAGTATTACATTGACCCCCTCCAGGCTACCCCTTCCCTCCACCCCAGGCCCTTATTGTTTGCGTCCATGGGTTACACATATATGCATACAAGATCTTTGGTTGATTACCTCCCACCCACACACCCTCCCCTGCCTTCCCTCCGAGAGATTCCCCACTCTGTTCAATGCTTCCATGTCTCTGGATCCATTCCATTCATTAGTTTATTTTGTTAAGTAGATTCCATATGTCATGTGATACTTGTCTTTCTCTGACTGACTTATTTCACTTAGCATGATACTCTCCAGGTCCCTCCTTTGCTGTCTCAAAGGGTAAGAAATTCTTTTTTTTTTTTTTTTTTTACAGCTGCCTAGTATTTCATGGTATAAATTTACTATAGCTTTTTTATCCACTCATCCACTGATGGGCTCTTGGGCTGTTTTCAGATCTTAGCTATTCTTTCTGATTGGTGTTTCGGGTTTCTTAGGATATATTCCTAGAAGTGGGATCACTGGGTCAAAAGGCAGTTCCATATGAGGAAACTCCATACTGTTTTCCACAGTGGCTGCACCAGTCTGTATTCCCACCAGCAGTGTACTAGGGTTCCCTTTTCTCCACATCCTCCTCAGCACTTGTCATTTGTTGATTTGTTGATGGTAGCCATTCTGACAGGTGTAAGGTGATACCTCATTGACATTTTAATTTGCATCTCTCTGCTGATCTTTGAGGATTTTTTTCATATGTCTTTTGGCCATCTGTATATCCACTTTGGAGAAGTGTTTAGGTCCTTTGCCCATTTTTTAATTGGATCGTCTGTCTTCCTTTTGTTAAGTTGTAGGAGTTCCTTATATATTTTGGATATTAACCCTTTATCAGATGTATAACTGCCAAATATATTTTCCCATACATTGGGCCTCTTTTCGTTTTGTTGATGGTTTATTTTTTTATTTTTATTGATTTCAGAGAGGAAGGAAAAGGGAGAGAGAGAGAGAAACATCAATAATGAGAGAGAGTCATTGATTGGCTGCCTCTTGCATGCCTACTACTGGGGATCGAGCTGCAACCAGGGCATGTGCCCTTGAGTGGACTCGAACCTGGGACCCTTCAGTCCACAGGCCGATGCTCTATTCATTGAGCCAAACTAGCTAGGGCTGTTGATGGTTTCTTCTGTTGTGTAGAAGCTTTTTCTTTTGATGTAGTCCCATTTGTTTATTTTCTCCTTAGTTTCCTTTGCCCTAGGACAGTGGTCGGCAAACACATTAGTCAACAGAGCCAAATATCAACAGTACAACGATAGAAATTTCTTTTGAGAGCCAAATTTTTTAAACTTAAACTATATAGGTAGGTACATTGTTATTAACTTAATTAAGGTACTCCTAAGCTGGCCTTTGCTAAAAACATCCTCAATCTGATTGAGGTACGTTCGCTGAGGTCGACCCCTTCCAACTCTCCCATCCACACTCATCTTGTATACTTGTTTCGTCTATCTCCTTTCCAAAAACCAACTTCTGCGCATGGGCCACGAAGTTTCAATCGCACTGTACGTGCGCGCCCGCACGTGGTATTTTGTGGAAGAGCCACACTCAAGGGGCCAAAGAGCCGCATGTGGCTCGCAAGCCGCGGTTTGCCGACCACTGCCCTAGGAGATGTATTGATAAACATATTGCTATGAGAGATGTCTGAGATTTTGGTGCCTATGGTTTCTTCTAGGACTTTTATGGTTTCACATCTTACTTTTAAGTCTTTTACCCATTTTGAGTTTATCCTTGTATATGGTATAAGTTGGTGATCTAGTTTCATTTTTTTTGCATATACCTACCCAATTTTCCTAACATCACTTATTGAAGAGACTCTCTTGACTCCATTGTATGCTCTTGCTTCCTTTGTCAAGTATTAATTGAGTGTAACGGCTTGGTTGATTTCTGGGGTCTCTGTTCTGTTCCATTGATCTATATGCCTCCTCTTGTGCCAGTACCAGGCTGTTGTGATTAGGGTGGCTTTGTAGTATAACTTGATATCTGATATTGTGATTCCTCCAACTTTGTTCTTCTTTCTCGAGATTGCTACAGCTATTCGGGGTCTTTTGGATCCATATAAACTTTTGGAGTATTTGTTCTAGACCTGTGAGATATGCTGTTGGTATTTTAATAGGGATTGCATTGAATCTGTAGATTGCCTTGGGTAGTATGGACATTTAAATGATGTTAATTCTACCAGCTCATGAACACGGAATATTCTTTCACTTGTTTATATCTTCTTCTATCTCTTTTTTCAACTTCCTGTAGTTTTCTGAGAACAGGTCTTTTGCCTCCTTGGTTAAGTTTAGTCCTAAATGTCATAATTTTTTTGTTGCAATTGTAAATGGAAGTGTTTGCTTAGTTTCTCTTGCTGAGAATTTATTATTGGTGTATAAAAAACCATCGATTTTTGGGTGTTGATTTTGTATCCTGCTACATTGCCAAATTCATTTATTAAATCTAGTAGTGTTTTGGTGGAGTCTTTATGGTTTTCTATGTACAATATGTCATCTGCGAATAATGGGAGTTTTACTTCCTCCTTTCCAATTTGGATGCCTTTTATTTCTTCTTGTCTGATTGCTGTGGCTAGGACTTTCAGTATTATCCTATATAATAAAAGGCTAATATGCAAATTGACCAAACAGCAGAATGACCGGTTGCTATGATGCACACTGACCACCAGAGGGCAGATGCTCAACACAGGAGCTTCCCCCTGGTGGTCAGTGCGTTCCCACAGTGGGGGCGCCACTCAGCCAGAAGCCTGGCTCTCCAGTGGGCTCAGAGCTGGTGAGCACAGCCGTGGTGGTGGGAGTCTCTCCCGCCTCCGAGGAAGCGCTAAGGAACAGTGAACCCGTCTTCTGGCTGAGCTGCGTTCCCAGCAGGTGGACAACCCCTAAGGGATCCCAGACTGCAAGAGGGCGCAGGCTGGGCTGAGGGACACCCCCCCCCCCCCGCCCCAACTGAACGAACGAATGTCGTGTACTGGCCCTCTAGTGTTGAATAAGAATGGTGAAAGCAGACATCCCTGTCTTGTTCCTGTTCTTAGGGAAATGGTTTTAGTTTTTGCCCATTGAGTATGATATTTGCTGTAGGTTTGTCATATATGGCCTCATCATGTTGAGATATGTGCCCTCTATTTCCACTTTGCTGAGAGTTTTTATCAAAAATGGGTGTTGGAGCCCTGACCGGTTTGGCTCAGTGGATAGAGCGTCAGCCTGCAGACTGAAGGGTCCCAGGTTTGATTCCAGTCAAGGGCATGTACCTTGGTTGTGGGCACATCCCCAGTAGTGGATGTGCAGGAGGCAGCTGATCGATGTTTCTCTCTCATCGATATTTCTGACTCTCTATCCCTCTCCCTTCCTCTCTGTAAAAAATCAATAAAATATATTTTTTTAAAAAAATGAGTGTTGGATTTTTGTTGAATGCCTTTTCTGAGTCTATTGATATGATCATGTGATTTTTGTCTTTCAGTTTGTTTATGTGATGTATCACGTTTATTGATTTGCGAATATTATACCAGCCTTGCATCCCTGGAATAAATCCCACTTGGTCATGGTGTATGATCTTTTTAATATATTGCTGGATGCAGTTTGCTAATATTTTGTTGAGGATTTTAGCATCTATGTTCATCAGGGATATTGGCCTATAATTTTCTTTCTTTGTAGTGTCTTTATCCAGTTTTGGGATTAGGGTAATGCTGGCCTCATAAAAAGAGCTTGGAAGTGTTCCTTCCTCTTGGATTTTTTGGAATAGCTTGAGGAGTATAGGTGTTAGTTCTTTGAATGTTTGGTAAAATTCCCCGG